TATCTATCTATCTATCTATCTATCTATCTATCTATCTATCTATCTATCTATCTATCTATCTATCTATCTATCTATACTATCTATAATCTATCTATCTATCTATCTATCTATCTATCTATCTATCTATCTATCTATCTATCTAAAAGTCACCCTTGCCTCGTGTAGAACCGCAGGGCTATTTTGTCAATTGATTAGTGTTGGTTATTATTCCTTTAGTTTCAAACTATTCATACTTGTATTCTATGAATAAAGATTTTCTTTTTCTTTTGAAGTTTTAGAACAAGTCTTATCTTATATTGTTTTATGTATTATGTATATCGTTCTGTGTGTTTATGCTATCAAACACTAGGGAATCAATCATGCATTTAGTTTTATTTATGCTTCAAAAGCCCTAATAACCAACCAATCAATAACCACTATTACTAAAGTGATGCCATCATTAGCCAAAGAGTCTTTCGGTTGGTATAGTGTGGATAGTTGTAATGATAGTTACATTGTTTTTTTTTTCTATTTTGTAATATTTATATTTATGTTGACATGTCCATACATTATGTATATGTATTTAAGTAGATATTTGTGGTGGCATTGGATTTAAATTTCATTAACCTGTTGCTAAATCTTCTTATAATAAAGGTTGTTAAATATTTTATCTTTTTATAGAAATAATGTTTTATCTTTTAATAGAAATAAATTTATATTTAAATAAATATATTGAGCGATTATATTCAAAACTAGTTCAAAATTAGTTTTTGGACTAAATAATTAAGACATTCTCGATCCAATTCTAATAGAAGTTTTATTTTCTATATTTACAGAAAATCTTTTACAAAATAATTACTGTAACGGTAGTGTAGGTGGAAGTACAACCGGCAGTGAAGGTATTATTGGTTCAGGTTCATCAAATATACCCGAACATGATGATCCAGGAGATGGTTTAGGCCCTCTGCCGCCTAAATGGGAAACAGCTTATACCGAAAGAGGAGAATTATATTTTATAGAGTAAGTGTAGCCTAACCTAGAAATTAATAAAAAAAAATCAATAGATTCATTTATAATTTAATAAAATTTAGCCACAATACCGGCACCTCACACTGGCTAGATCCGCGACTTTCGAAATATCAAAAGAAATCTTTGGAAGAATGTGGAGAAGATGAACTGCCCTATGGTTGGGAAAAAATTGAAGATTCTCTCTATGGTACCTACTACATCGATCATGTCAATAGGAAAACACAATATGAAAATCCTGTACTAGAGGCTAAACGTAGAGCAGCCGAGCAAAAACAACAACAGCAGCAACAACATCAACATTCTCACAATCATCAGCATCCACATCAATTGCCACCACAACGACCACAAACACCATCATCGTCTAGTGTTTTGAATGGTACAAACGCTAGTATAGCTTTAAGTTCAGTTTCATCAGCTTCGACACTCTCCACAGTGGATATATCACAACGAGCCATGCAACCACCACCACCAGCCATGATGCAAGAACAAAATGCCAATAAACCACCTTTACTGCCATACAAATTTACCCGTAATCCGGCAGAAATGCAAGGGGAACGTATTACCGCTACTTTACTGAAATCGGCTCGCGGTTTAGGTATCACAATAGTGGGTGGTGATGATGGAGTAGAGGAATTTTTGCAGATCAAATCAATAGTACCCAATGGTCCGGCTTGGCTGGATGGTCAGCTGCAAATGGGCGATGTTTTGGTGTATGTTAATGATACTTGTGTTTTGGGTTTTACGCATCATGAAATGGTAAGTAAAAGAGTTCTAATGTTAATGATCCACTTAGGACGGGGTTTACTGATAAAGATAGTCTACATTCTTTGTTTAAACCTAGCTTAAACTAAAGTTTAAAATCTCTTTTAAATTAACTTAAATTTTATTCCAGGTTAATGTTTTCCAGTCAATTATGCCGGGCGAAACGGTAACCCTAGAAGTATGTCGTGGTTATCCTTTGCCGTTTGATCCTAATGATCCCAATACCGAGGTAGTGACAACAATAGCTGTTGATGGCATTTCCTCGCACGAACCAGACAAACAACGACGCATGCTTATGGAGCTCAATATGGATGGAAATTATAATTTCCTGGACATATCGGGAGCTAGTAGTAATGGCGGTAACAAGCACAATCTTAGCACGGGAAGTGCTATAGACAACAGTGGTTTTATTTTAATGAAAAAACCAGAAGTACATACGTTTTCCATAATAAAAGGTGCCATGGGTTTTGGTTTCACCATAGCCGATTCCTCTTATGGACAAAAAGTCAAAAAGATATTAGATCGAGCTTGCTGTAATCAGCTACAAGAGGGAGATATATTATTGGAAATCAACGATATTGTGGTACGAAATAAATCCCATGTGGATGTAGTACAAATACTTAAAGATTGCTCCAAAACAGAGCCGACTATGGTGAAAATACAAAGACCAGTGACAACATCAACAACAGCAGTTAATAATACCTCGCCTAATAGTGCGGGCCAGTCGGCAGCTGGGGGTAATAATACGGTAGCCAAATTAAGGAAAAATTTCCTGGGAGCCACTACGGGTGGTATAGGCAATAATGCCTTGTTCCGCAGCAAAACGCCTACAGCTGATTTGTATAGTACTATGCAAAAGGAGATACTACCAATTAGACCAAAAACACCTCTGGTGGATACACGAAGAGCCAGAGTGAATACACCCAATATGGAGCTGACAGAAGACAGAGAAGTGGCTGCTGTAAATACCAGTGCTGAAGAAACGGCACTAGAACGTTCTTTAGCGGAAAGTAAGAGCCACTTAAATGAGGGTAGTAAATCGCAAAATTCTTTGTCGGAAATCGATGCCATCAATCATGATATACCCTTTATGGATCCATATCCCAAAATGGTAACCAGTCTAAGTGAACGTTTAGCTGGCGTATCCATGCCCAGTGAGTCAATGCACAATAATGGTCAAGCGACAGCGGCAGTGGGAGGTTATTTACGTACTACCGCCTCAGGTGTGCCGAACTATGAAAATCAGGGAGATTATGTTAGTGCGGGTAGTGGTAATTATAGTTCCATCTATGGTTTAGCACAAATGCCACCAGTAATGAGTCCTCTAAGTGGTGGACTCTATGGACCGCCTACCAGCTCATCAGCCGCAACGGCCGGACTAATGGCACCTGCCACAGCTTCTTACCATCATCATCATGAATCCTGCTTTTGCTACGAATGTCAAGATTTTCGTAATAATCGTTTAAGAAATTCCTCCGCAACGCACAATTTACAGCCCCCCACGCATCCTCAACAACAGCAACAACAACCCTCACCACGTAGTTATTATCCGGTCTATCATCAGCCTCAACATGGTCACAACCAATATTCACCCGCCTCCTCAGCCAGCCTACAGGCAGCTCATATACAAAACGAACGCATGCAAAAGAGAGTCAATGAGCTGTTGAACGATAGAAGACGTGTGGGATTTTCACCACTCGATCATCAGCATCATAATCAAATGCAAATAAATACCGGCATAGGAAATTCAAATGTGATGGTTAGTGGTGCGGGTGGTTATTCTCCTTCTCAGCAGCAATATTTACACCAACATAACGTACATGGTGGCCTAATAAATCAGTCGCAGCAGCAGCAACATTCTCCGGCTCAACAGCAGCTGGGTAACTGGCAAAATAATGCGGCAGTTAATTATAATAATCTACAGCCTGTTGGAGCCCTAATGCGTAATGGTTTTCCCGAATCCAGTGACATTTTAGATGGCTCAGGTGAACAGTTTACTTTATCGGAAGTGACGTTACAACGTCAGGCTTTGGGTTTTGGCTTTAGAATTGTGGGCGGCACTGAAGAAGGATCTCAAGTGACAGTGGGTCATATTGTACCAGGGGGAGCAGCGGATAACGATCATCGTATAACAACAGGCGATGAAATACTTAGTATTGATGGTATTAATGTGGTAAGTGTAAAGCGTGGACAGATATAGTAGTAAAGAGATAGATAGATAGATAGATAGATAGATAGATAGATAGATAGATAGATAGATAGATAGACAGATAGATAGATAGATAGATAGATAGATAGATAGATAGATAGATAGATAGATAGATAGATAGATAGATAGATAGATAGATAGATAGAGTAGATAGATAGATAGATAGATAGATAGATAGATAGATAGATAGATAGATAGATAGATAGATAGATAGATAGATAGATAGATAGATAGATAGATAGATAGATAGATAGATAGATAGATAGATAGATAGATAGATAGATAGATAGATAGATAGATAGATAGATAGATAGATAGATAGATAGATAGATAGATAGATAGATAGATAGATAGATAGATAGATAGATAGATAGATAGATAGATAGATAGATAGATAGATAGATAGATAGATAGATAGATAGATAGATAGAAGATAGATAGATAGATAGATAGATAGAGATAGATAGATAGATAGTAGATAGATAGATAGATAGATAGATAGATAGATAGATAGATAGAGATAGATAGATAGATAGATAGATAGATAGATAGATAGATAGATAGATAGATAGATAGATAGATAGATAGATAGATAGATAGATAGATAGATAGATAGATAGATAGATAGATAGATAGATAGATAGATAGATAGATAGATAGATAGATAGATAGATAGATAGATAGATAGATAGATAGATAGATAGATAGATAGATAGATAAGATAGATAGATAGATAGATAGATAGATAGATAGATAGATAGATAGATAGATAGATAGATAGATAGATAGATAGATAGATAGATAGATAGATAGATAGATAGATAGATAGATAGATAGATAGATAGATAGATAGATAGATAGATAGATAGATAGATAGATAGATAGATAGATAGATAGATAGATAGATAGTAGATAGATAGATAGATAGATAGAGATAGATAGATAGATAGATAGATAGATAGATAGATAGATAGATAGATAGATAGATAGATAGATAGATAGATAGATAGATAGATAGATAGATAGATAGATAGATAGATAGATAGATAGATAGATAGATAGATAGTAGATAGATAGATAGATAGATAGATAGATAGATAGATAGATAGATAGTAGATAGATAGATAGATAGATAGATAGATAGATAGATAGATAGATAGATAGATAGATAGATAGATAGATAGATAGATAGATAGATAGATAGATAGATAGATAGATAGATAGATAGTAGATAGATAGATAGATAGATAGATAGATAGATAGATAGATAGATAGATAGATAGATAGATAGATAGATAGATAGATAGATAGATAGATAGATAGATAGATAGATAGATAGATAGATAGATAGATAGATAGATAGATAGATAGTAGATAGATAGATTGATTGATTGATTATTGTTGATTTTGCTTTGTATGTTGATTTGTAAACAAACAGTTAAATATTTTTTTGATTTAGGTTAATTCCTCACACCACAAGTAGTTTCCTTAATGGGAGAAGCTGCCCTTGCGTGGTCAAGTGACAATGATTCTAAGACGACGAACGCGACCCGGCATAACACAACCTCAACTGCAACAGCACTCTATGCCACAGCAATTGATGGTCCAACAACAGTCTATGTTAAATAATACTGGTCTAACAGGCAATGTAGGCATGCTGCAGCATCCTTCTCCTTTACAGCCTATGATGCGTAACAATCCTATACGTTATCCTTATGATGTTATAGTAACAAGACATGAAAATGAAGGATTTGGTTTTGTTATCATTTCTTCGTCTAATCAATATTATGGCTCAACAATTGGTAAATATTTAATTAAAAGAAAAAAATTAACATTTTGAAACATTTTTTTTTAAATTCTTTTAAAGGCAAACTTATACCGGGTAGTCCAGCCGATCGTTGTGGCGAACTTAAAGTGGGTGATCGTATAATAGCGGTAAATCGTATTGACATAGCCGGCATGTCTCATGGGGATGTGGTCAATTTAATTAAAGAATCTGGTTTACACGTACGTTTAACCATTGGCTGCCCCAAGGAAGGAGCTATTATAAATGCTGCACCCACTATGCCAGCCGGCAGTGGTATTAATCCAGCCTCCAATGTAGCGGTTGGCAGTACAGGTTTATTATTAAATTCTGCACAAGCTTCACCTGGCCAAGTGTCACAGACATTAACGCCTACGCTACAAACAAATTTAGATCCCTCAACACAATACTTTGAAAGACCACTACTTAGTGGTGGCTCAAATGCTGGCTCGGCTACATCTTCAACGTCGCATCACCAGCAAACAGCTCAACAATCACCAAATCCTTTACCAGCACCACCACAATTATGACTTTGAGATTTACGCATTAAACTCTTAAAGAGTTTTCTTTAGTAAATATTCAAGAACCCTTAAAAACCCACCCTGCACCTTTCTCACCAACATCTAGCCTTATTAAAACCTATCTACAAACTATCTACCTAATTCCAATTCCACATTGACCATCATTAGTTTTAATATAAGTATATAAAATGTATATACAATTAGTTTAAACAAAACTTTTTTTCAAAAGGTAATTAAGTTAAGTTAAAATAACTAATATTTTATTATAGTAATGTAATATTAACTAACGTATTTAATTCAATCCCTTACCCAAAGGACTGACGACATTTTACATACATATGCACATTATTATTATAGTGTTTTTACTTAAAATAGCAATGGCTCAATTCAATATTAAGATAAACTAACTTAAACAAAAAAACTTAAATCCATTTTGTACTTAATACATTCATAATATTTAACATTTAAATTATTTGTTGTTGGTATTAAACAAATTAAAAAAAAGTATTTATACATATCAAACGAACTTATATACATTTTAAAATAAAATTTACTCGATCAGTGTTTAAATGACTTATAAATCCTTAAGAATTTTCTATACAAATTTCTTAATATTTGTTAATTTTTTTTTAACTTTATAAAAATTAAATTTAATGAAATAAGAAAAAGTAAACAAAAAATAGTTTTTAAGTGTTAAATTTTAATTATCATTTATTTACAAATTAATAAAAATAATTATATTATGTATTAGTTTTCTTTTTTGTATATTATATAAAGTGTTAAAAAGTAATACATATTCATACATATTAAATTTTAAACTTATACATACATACATACTTATGTAAAAATATATATTTCACGAAATAAATGTAGTTTAAATTATACAAAAATAAATTTGCGTTTTTTACAGTTAAAAATAAGTAAATAAATGGGTTAACAGAGACTAAATGGTACTTTTCTAATTGATAGAGCTACGCCGATCACATCAAGTTTTCATCATATCTTAAATTAAGGTTTAAAAATCGCCATTTTTAAGACATTATAACAGCACGAAGTCAACTTTATAAAAACTTAATGTCCTCTCTGTTATATCTTATTCCTTCTTTGATATCACTTAATCTAAAGTTTAAAATAACTATAAAGTCGATTTTGACTTTGTTTTGCGTCAAAAATACTCCCAAGAACAGTTTTCCAAACAATTCAATAAACATTTAAATTTTGTGATTAGTTTTGGGTCACAAGTTTGTTGTTCGATCAAGATATCTCAAAGGAATAAAAGTTTCAAATCAGTCTGTAGTGGTTTAGAAACTGTATTTTGGAAATAAGTCGGTATCTGGAAAATCATTGGATATATCGTAACAAAATTTCAACATGGTTGGAGCTGAGATGTTTCCGAGTTGATTAACTGGCTTCCATCTGTAGGCCGAATTCGTATCATAAATGGATTTCATGCCCACTAGCTTAAATTCGGCCTACGATCAGCTACTCTTAATCAGAAAAAGTTGATAATAGAAGTATCTATATAATCTATTAACTCAATAGCATTTCTGCTCCACTTATAAAACCTAATGGTTGCCTATTTCATTCCTAGCTACATTTCCTACTTCATTTTGGATCTGTTTTTGGTTCATTGTTGCTATACTGTTTCTAGCTCTTCATCATCTTCACACCACATTCATAGATCTTTTGTATTAATGAACAATTACTTAGAAAGGCTGCAATTGCACAGTGATCGGCTAACACTTCTTCTAGAATCATTATACTCTTCCTGTTCAATCCTAGTAGAACTTTGGTTGCCTTAATGTTTAACTTAGCCAAAAGGTTTTGGATACCTGGCAAAACATTACTCTGTGTCAGGATTGATTTATGCAGTCTTTTAAAAGTTTTGCCGACCAATCTCTACTTCCTTTATATGTACATATGTATATTACAGCGTCGTGGTAACCAAAAACAACATTATTGAGTTCATCCTAAATAATTAAGTGCCCTTTTGGTGTATTTCTTTGGATTTGATGTAACATTCATACATCTTCCTTTCAAACTACCTAACTGGTATACGTTCCATTGAACTAGAGTATAATGCCTTTAGGAAGGCTTCTTCATCGCCCCTTTTTCCTGCGGGGAATTGCTGGCTGCCATGTTGCCGCCAACTGCGAGTTTGAAAATAAATCCCGTGAAAATGAGTTGTATAACGAGAGAAATAAATAAAACAGTATTACGAATACAAAAATTCCCCAATCTGGTAGACGAGCAAAATTCCACTTTTTACTTAATTTCTGGGATTCCGATTTTATTTAAAATCGTTGAAAATTTAAAAATAACTGAATTCTTAGCCGGCTTAGAATAGGTGACCTCCGGTAGGTTGGTGTTCTAGTCTGGTAGACCGTAGGTGTTGGGTTCGATTTCACACTAAATAGCCGGTTTACAGACGATTTTAAGCCGCCGCAAACATTTTAACTGTCAGCTGCCGGCGCCGTTAATATTTGTCAACGAAGGCTTTTGATACAAATTGTTGTGTAAAACTGCATTTATGTTAAGAATTTGTTAATAAACTATTAAAAAAAAGAATTGCCAGAAAAAATAGCGTGAAAAATATTAATTACTTTTATTTCAATTGTAAATACAAATGTGTAGACTGTAGTTAAATGAATTTAAACTAAAAGAAAATGAGTAGACCTCGTAGTGTCCTTTGTCCGGTCGCTGTTGTTTATATAGGCTTAATCTTAAAATGCAAGCCGATGAGTGAGAAAACTAAACATTTAAGATCCTGTACCAAATAGTAAAAGCAACGCAAGCCCTCGGGATCTTTGGAACGGTTTACATCGACCAGTGAACCGGTCTTAGAGGTGGTAAACGATATGTGCTCATCGCCAATGACAATTTCAAGTTCCTGAAAAAGCGACATATTTGAAAACATAAAATAAAATTGAAAAAAACAATTGTGCGTTGAAAATTACCTGTCTTCCTACACGATCTGGTGGTGGCCAAGGTGAATCATCTTCAGCCATTATTTCTGAATCTAAAATAATACGTTTGAGCTCTTCCATCACCGATTGATGAACAAATGCCTCTTTGCGAATCATGGTGTCATTTTTGTAGTTCGAGTTGTTGGCATAGCGCAGTTTGCCATCGGGGCGAAACTCAAACTCGAGAAATTCGTGGCCAAATTTACCTTTATGCCCGACATAATAACGTAAGTAGAAATCTTCTGTAGACATTTTGTGTCTTAATTAATTGCAATTTATATTTATTTGCACCTTTTTTGTTAAGAATTTTACGATTTTACTACTTGTGGTTTTTCGGCACAAAAAAAATATAAAACGCTTTCACATTAGAAATGTCAAAAAGTGTTTTGTTGTTGTTGCCAGGGTTGTATTCTGCCGGTAGAAAAAGTGGTGCCAAGTTTGTTTTGTAGCGAAAAATAAATATATTTATGTAGAGAGCAGTTTCACAAACTCTTCTTAATATTTTGATGTTGGTGCAACCGCTCAGAATTTTGTAAATGCATTTATAATGGGATAGTTAATATAGTTATCAAATACCTATTAGATTTTTTTCGACTTTTTAAGTTAAAAATATAATGCTTCCACGTAGTTTTTTTAATTTTTGCAATAAAATAGAAACATAATTGAATCGATTTTAGACTGATTTTAGTTTAAAAAGTCGACTTTTTGACCGTTTTTTTTTTTTTTTAATTTTTCGATTTTTAAACTGTTAAGTGGCGGTTGATTCAAATCTGGTATGAATTTATTAACAACCTTAATATAATAACATAACCTCCACTACTACGCTATATGGTTTCCATGGCAAGTGCTATATAAATTTGTTTATTTTAATAACCCAATAACCTATAAATATGTAGTTGTTTTGTCGTTAATAACAAAGTAGTTTAATAACAAAAACTTCAGTTGTAATAAAAAAAAAAATACTTTTAAATATGCCAAATCAAAAAAAGAATCAGGTAAATTGCAATTATTTTGCTACATCAGTACGATTAAACAACTTTATTAACTATTTTATAGAATAAACGGACTCGTGCTTATGTAGAAGAAGTTTTTCGTCAAATTGAACAAAAACCAGATGTAACCGATATTATGATACTCAATAATAAGGGTAATCCGGTTAAAACGACTATGGAGAGTTCCTTAGCCATACAGTACGCTGGTCTCTATGAAATATTGCGCGACAAAGTTTGTATGGGTTTACAGAAGATGGATGCACGTAATGAATTAATTATGCTTAGATTAAGAACTACTAAAAATGAGACCTTAATAGTTCCGGATGGTAAAATTACTATTGTCGTAACACAAAATGCCAAAGATGGTTTTCAAAATGCCTAACCACTCTTTTATTTTGAAAAATTTAATTATTTGTATTAGCCAAATGTTTTTTTTAACAAGAGATAGATAAAAAAAATAAAAATAAAAGTTTTTTTTATATAAAATACATATGAGATTAACAATTCATTGTACCACCACTATAGTAAATTCCTTTTCTGGTGCTACTAAATATTCAAATTTTCTGGTGGCTATGCGTAAAAATTTCAAATCGTTTGTACTGTCAATATCACGTACTGCACTTCTAGCGGCCGATACCAACATTTTACAAATTAACTTATAATGCCCACCGATACGGTATTGTCATAGGAAGATATAGCTATTGTACCATAGTTATTATTACAGACCACATAACCCAAGGCATTTTTCATTATACGTTCCGTATTTTCAGCATTGCGTCGTATTACCGCTTCTAAAGGCTGTAAAATTGAAAAATTGATGAATTTTAAATTCTTTAGATGGTTTATTGTTATTTGAATATCTTACCATGTTGGAAATATATTTTTTGTTACAATTGAATGACTTAAAAAAATAGCTTTGAAAATAAATTCAGTTTATTTTTGATAAATTCAAATGGAGAAGGAATCAAAGAATAATGAAGGAATATTTTGATTTTGAAACAGAACTTCAAATGAATGAATTCATATATAAATCTAGAAATCATAAATCAGGATGCACTAAGTAAGGTGAAATCGTCAAGGCAGCTGGTTTTTATTTGTTTATTTAAAAAGTGCTTGGGTTATGTCAAAAATAATTTATTTATTTTATTCTAACATAAAAATTAAATTTGTGTTTTCTAACGAAAAAATTTCAAACCAAAATTATGAATGAAAATGCTAATAAAGGGTTCCAAATGAAGAAATTCAGATGAACCAGCAATAAGACGTTGTCCTGCTGCGAATACAATTTAAATGTAACGACGGTTTTATAGGTAATATTGTGAAATACGCAAAAAATTTTCTTTCCAATATT